GATGGTGGTGATGGTGATGGTGATGATGGTGATTATGACAATGACAATATTGATAACTGCAGTAATAATAGTGATAATAAAGACGATAATTATTATTTTGATGATGATAATAATAATAATGTTAATAATAATGATAATGATAATAATAATAATAATAATAATAGCAATAGTAATAATAATAATAATGATAATAATAATGGTGACCATAATCACAATAACATGACTATCATACAACAATGATAATAGCACTAATTATAATAATGACTTTAAAGTTAAACAAATTATCTATGATACATGATTTCCATTGATAAAAAGATGGGGAGCTGCTGGTCATCCAAAACACCTTTCTGCTGTTTTAAAAATAACACTACATTGCTACCCTGAAAATAACAGCAAAAACTAGTTGTTTGCATGAGTCTCTATAAAACAAACGTTTCGTGATACATTGGACATATTCAAGGTGTTATTTGATCTTTTCTTTTTATGTTGAAATATTAAGTACTCTATAAGCCCTATAACAATAACATGCACTGTAAACACTATTTTGATATGTTGGGTGCAAAAGAAGCAATATGACTCACCTCTTGATTACAATATTTCAATAAATGTATTTCTTTCATAGCAAAATCAAACATTTAAAATGCTCACCCACCGTAGTATATCTCATATTATCATAGTCTAGATTTCATCTGTAAACTGACATGAAGTGATAGCCTGGATAAAGGTTTGATTATAATTTTTTCGTTTTATTAAACTGAGAGAACGAATGGTATTGCTTGTCAAGTTTCATATCGTCTATCTGGAAGTTGCTACTGCACACGTACTGAAGATGATATTGTTATATAAATTATTCTATAAACCATTGGAGTACTTCATTCCCTTTAAAGGTCTTGTGTCAGCTTAGTAACTAGTTAATCAGTCAGTGCTAGAACTGAAGACATGGCAATAGATATGGCACGACATCAAATCCAAATTGTGTTTTCTGACCATTTTCCCAAGTAAATAATTTCAATATAAATGTTAACAATGGTACCCACTGCATTAAAGTTCTTAACATGAAAAATACAGAATAAAAAAATATTCAAGTTGGTTATTTCAAGTACTTGAATGAATTTTGGCTGTAAATTGTCACTTTTCATAAGATTTTCATATTATATATATTTTCTAATGGGAACAGATTTTCAGTGGTAAATTCTTTGATATATACCCATGCCTTAGTTTTGCAAACATATATATTCTACTAGTTTCTTGAAGTAAATTAATTACTGTGTCAGTCATTAAATAATCTAAACTTTTTACACTCGAGGTTCATATTGCAAATATTGTTTTTTCCAGTTTCATCAATTTCCTTTTGGTAACATAAATAATTCCATAGGAAAGATTTGACTTTCTACTACTTATAAAGCAGTAAAAAGATGCAATCGCTTGTTAATGGTATAAAATGTAAGTACGGGTATAATATGGTTTCTTTTGTACTGAGTGGACAAGTACAATTGCGTAAGTATGAATCAAATTAATATATATATATAAACTAATAAAAACTCAGGTACAACTGTAAAACAAGAAATGATGAAAAAACTCATTTAAAGTTAAAACCAAAATAGAAAATGTAAGAGAAATACAAAATACTCCAAGCATTTATGAAAATATGAAAATTAAACCAATTCCAAAAGAAAATTTTGATTTTGCTTTCAAGCATATGTCAAATCAAAAAATGCAAACATACCTTATTCATATTTTGGTCTAAAAATAAATAGGAGAAGATTCCAAGGAAATAAAACTAAATAATTGTCTGTAAAACCAAATTTCCTTTCATAAGTCACAGATAAATATAAAAAAACTAGAATACAATACCCTGCAAGTAAGTTCAACAAAACACAACAAATAATATTAAACCATATAAAATGAGCAAATCCAATTACCAAAACACCTAAACATAAATGTTTAGCTTCTTACCCTATATAGAGATATCTATACCCAGGCAGTTTATACATACATATATATAAATAACCACATAATATAATAAATGTGATACCATATGTGAACAAAATTGGACAGAGTGACAATCAGGAAAAATCTGTATGCATCTTTTTGCATTTTTTGTGTTCACAGTTACAAATGCATATGACTATTACATGTTAAAAACCTCTCACACACACACTGGTTCATACATACTTGTAGATATGCCTATCAACTTTATCAATGTCATCATTATTTTCCTGTCAGTAAAATTACTTATGAAATCTAAACTTTAATCCCGCTCCCAAATCAACTCTGGGTGCAATTTCCAGCGGCAGAGTACACAGTAAAGTAGAGAGAAGCACAGTAAAAACATACATATACACCAATATCAAACTCATACAAGAATAGACTCGTCTACGACACTAAACACAAAAATGTAGGAATCTGCTATCAACAGTCCTTTCCAAATGAATATAATATTTACAAGAGCAAGTTAAAATGACTATAAAAATTACAAGACTAGCCTCTAGGCTCATGGCTATGAAATATCACACAAACAAGGGGGGGGCATTCCCACAAGGCAGGAGCTGCAAAAAAAGAGAGGGAGAAAGTAGAAAATATGGGAAATAATGAAAGAATACTATAAGAAAACAGATGAATCTATCAAATTTACTTAGCTCTGGAATTTGAATTGTAACGAAAATTTATAAAATGGGGGTAAATCCAAACTCAATAGAAAAAGGGATCACATCATTTCCAGCAGTCTGTAAACCCACTGAAAAGTTTTCCAGCTGCCTATAATCCCATTATCTGTACAGTGCTGGTCAGCTCACTTCTCCACTCCAGTCTTTGGTTCTTTTGAAAACTGGCAGAGCATATTTAACTTTCCTTTCACAATGCTTTGTGAATCCTTTCATTCTATGAACTTGTATTAGTTTAGGAACACAGGAGGAAACTTAAACTTCTATGAAAATGGGACCTTGGAATTAGTTTCTCTTCATAGCTGGTCTATCTGGAGTAGGCTGACACCCCACTTTCTCATCCATGGCAATGAAAAATACCTTGTCTTTACATATTTTCAACATGTAATGTAAGTTGTTAAAGTAAGAAAGGAAAAGGCACACTTTAATATTTTCTATCTTAACTGACTCATAACATTCTCCTTTCTTCACTGGTAGGGCATTTTCAGTGCAATTATGTAATTTTTAACTGCATTTCCAATTCAAATATCAAAATTTTATTTTGACCACAGTTATTCTCATCATTTCTTTCCAGGCTTAAAAATACCCTCCAATACACAAAACCAGTGGAAAATCTGTATTTTCTACAACTATAGTAGGAAAATGGAAAAAAATAATAATTTTTTAATCTATACTAGTTATACCATCCTACACACCTATTAAGAGTATAAAACTGCTTTAATTAGGGGTGTATGGAGTGATTGTGTTTAGAGAGGAGTAATGGTCTCCAATTTGCCAACATAATAAGAATTAGAAAGTGCCGCACTCCTCTTTACCCTCCTCATGGTACACCCAAAACTAGACAAAACATTTAACTAACACCGTACATCACCTTCAAATACTTCCCAGTACCTTCCCAGTACTGTACAGAGAATGTAGACGCATAAAGACTGGTTTAAAGCAAATACAAGAGAATAAGCTCAGGTTTAAGGGGGCCAAACTTGGGACTCCTTCAACCTTAACATTCTACAGAAAGGATATATAAAACTTATATGCATAAATATCTATATCACAAACTTTAAGAAATATATCTGACATTTTAGAGGGGGAAGTACACAGTTCAATTAAAGCCAAACCTATAAGTAACTACTGCTTCTCTTCAGATGAATCTTACATTAAAACTCTAAACAAATAAATAAATACATAAATAAATAAGTAAGTATACATAAATCAAAGTGCTTACTGGTGTGGCATATGCTGCAGCCATCTTATAGGCTTATGCTTCAACATAGCTATTTAAGGGCACACACCTTGTGGGTATGTCAGTGTTAGTGCTAATTTTAAAGCTTTTCACTATGGCTATGGCATGACTTAAGCAGTAGTGCTAGGATTTGCACAGACACTATAATGCCGTAACCATAGCCACTGCTTACATAAATAGTTCAACTAAATGTTATGCAGTGTTTGATATTTCTGTACATGTCTGTATGTGCGCCACTTGAGCTTACATGTAAGCACACAGTGTATAAATAAGATTCTGCCTTGTATGAAATGTCCTAAGATATCTACGTAACCCTTATTGGAAACTGCCTATATACTACCAGGGAACAGGTGTTGCAATACAGCACATTTTCACATCTGACTGAATACCAAAGCCCAATAAAAAAAATATATATATAACATCAAAATTTAAAAGGAAATGAAAGAAGCAATACACAAATTTCATAATCAAGTTCAGATATGTTGTTTTGAATGATAAATGTAAAAATCAATTCTGAGCAATCATCATCTGCCAAACATGAACACACGCTCACACACGCGTTCAAGCTCTCTCGCTCTCTCTCCCAGTCTCTCTCGGGCTCACACTCACTCACTCACACTCACACTCACACTCACACTCACTCACACTCACTCTCTCTCACTCTCACTCTCTCACTCTCACTCACTCTCACTCACTCTCTCACTCTCTCACTCTCTCACTCTCTCACTCTCTCACTCTCTCACTCTCTCACTCTCTCACTCTCTCACTCTCTCACTCTCACTCTGACAAATTTAAGTACATATTACACTGTCTATAATTTATTCTAAAGAGATGACAACCTCTACCAAATAATTAGATGATAATTACCCATGTTGCAAGTAGTAAAGACTTTTTACATTCTTTACAGTTTTCAAAGATCTTTTCTTGCTTCAATCTTAAGGTATTCATACCCTAAGACTCTCATAAGCAGTCCATTGCCAAAGACACATTCTAGATACCATGTCTAATAGCTCTTCCTGTACTAATAATCGGTAACTATCTGCAATGACAAAAATAATAAATATGGCTTGTAGTTCAAAAATTTTTAATTCTTAGCTATAAAAATAAGAATGATATATGAACAAACTCGAATCTAATCCCATATTCTCAAATTCCTCAATGTCACGGCACTCTCATTCAAAGCATCTAAAAAGCAAAAGTCAAAACCTACACTGTTATAACTAGTATGATGCAAAGTAAGTCAAAGTTGCTATCTTTCAAGATACAAAAAACAAAAGATTTATGTGCAGTTAAAACACAACAAATGCACTGTTCTCTGAATTCTGCAGGAACTTTATCTCTTACTGAATCAAAAGTACTTCTCAGTGGATGTCTTCACCTGATATCTGCACACATGGCTGAATACACAAACATGTCTATATATAACAGCTGTGTACTTTATGTATTTATGATTGAGCAAAAGAACCAAAGTGAGAGATCAAACAAAAGAGCAACTCCCTGAATCATTATTACACTCAAAGAAGTCTTACCTATCCATCCTCACTAACATCCATTACTAGTTATGGGTACATCTGTTGCCCATAACTGTATACATTTGTGCTATTACATGCAAGACACTTCTTTCTGACACTCAGAAGTGATCACCCCTACATCTATGATTGTGACATGAGAAGGTAAAACAAATTTCCAAGACTTGATTGTGCTGTAAGTAGTAATTTACACCTCCATAGGAAATACACAGATGGCCAAATTAAGCAGGTTGCCTTGAACAGAGACAGATAACTGTGCCAATAGATTTGAAGTTGACAACAATCCACTTGTGACAAACCCTGATACTTGTGCCAGTTTGTGCATTACAGCCCCTCTTGCACATACAGTTGTGCTAGAACATTCTGGGTAGGAAAAAAATTGTGTTCATATTTGAGGTCTAAGTCACATAATAAATGCCTTTACGGATTATCAACTTTTTCTATTTGTCCATGTATTAGCAATATACCTTTCAAATGGCAGCTCCATGCTAAATCACCTTTCATATCTATGTAGGTACATTTCTTTCATGTCTATCAAAAAGGCATTTTTCAAATTTCCACTTCTGTGCTAATAGTATTTACAGAGACACATGAGAAAAGAAATTACACCTTGTATAAAGTAATGTCTCCAAAGCACCAAGAAACAAGCTTTTTCAAGTATATGCAAAACACATGATTTGGAACTCAAACTACATTCAAGTGAAGTGTTCCTTGTGCTGACCTCTCTTATCCTCTTCTCCTTAACAGAAAAAAAATAAAAAATAAACTGAGGAAGGAAAGTACAAGAGAAAAATCCTTACACACTATACCCCCTCCAAAAATCTCTTAAA